CCCCCCTGTAGGGGGACGGGCCCGACTTAACCCTAGTCCTCCCCCCCCCCTCTTTGCCTACCCCGACGAAAGGCGCCCGTGGGTGAGGAGCTTGCGACGCCAAGATCGCGGGGCTTCTCCTGCTTCGCCTGGCTTGCCATCGCTCGGACGTCCATTTCCCGTGCATGTTTCGGTTTCGTGCGTGTTTTCCCCCCCCCCCCCCCCCCGCCTGTCGTCGCCCTTGGCTGGAGAAGGGCGGGCCGAGGCCGCGCCGCGCTGCCGTCCCCCCGTGTACCATCCTCTGTGCGCGCTCCGTGGGCGCCCACGGAGCGCCGGGGCGGGGCGGGCGAGAGGGTGCGCCGCGCTGCCGCCCCCGTGCCGCGCCGTGGGCACACGGGCTGTACACGTAGGTCGGGCGCGTCCCCCTGCAGGGGGACTTTCGACGAAACATAGAGCTTGCCGTCGCTTGGACGTCCATTTCCCGTGCATTTGTTTTGGTTTCGTGCGTGTGTTTTTTTGCTCGATGGTCCAGGATGGTCCTCAAGGGTCCTGGCCGATGAACAAAAATACACACGTCCGAGCGATGCCAGGAAAGAATACACCAAATATACCCCCACGTGGTCAGGGAAATGCTCAAGATAGTCCCCAGACTATCTTTCGCCCATGTTTGAAGATTCCTCCTGTAGAGGGACGGGCCCGACTGAAGCGTACACCGAGGATGCGCCGCGTTTCCGCCCCGTGGGCACCCGAGGGCATTCCGTGTGTTGGATGGGTCCGCATGTGCCGGCTCGTCGGCGCTGTCTGGGCACCGCACGCGGAGAGCGTACACCACGAAAGATTGCACCCCAGAGCTGACGCCGCATAGCTTACACCACATAGCTTCGACTACACATCTTGTAGGACATAGCTCACCCAACATCATGTGAACATCCAGCTTGCGCCACATGTACATCAAGACATGGCGTGCACCACGTAGCCTCCACCGCGAAACTTCCACCTGAATGGCTCACATCACATATCTTACACGACACGGCTTGCACCACATATCTTGCACCGCAATGCTTTCACCTGTGGAATATATCCTGTTTGGGATCCACGCTGGCCAACATATGCCGGAATCTGTATACACAACCGCCACCGTATCGCCAAGCTCTAAAGGGAGTGCTCTCAAATCCCTCTGACCTTTCATACTGCGTAGTTGAGTGCTTCTGAACGGGGCCCCCCTTTCTGGCCTAGGCTCCTCGCGTGATGTCGCGTGACTATAGGGGCTCGCCGCATGAATTTTCCACAGGCCAGAGAGCCCCAGCACCCAAGACGGTCCAAGATGGTCCCGAGTCGGTCCAAGAGCGCCTTAAGACAGCCATGGCGCCCTCCAGACTGCAGAAGAAGCCCCCACGACGCTTCAAGACGGCCCCCAGAGGGCCCCAAGATGCCAGTATCTGGGATGTCCCATTAAGCATTTGGAGCGTTTCAGCGTTCTCCCACGTTCAAGCTTCTGAAAATAGGCAGAACGAAGACTCCGAGGTAGCTCCAAGACGGACCAAGAAGCCCCCAAGAGGGCCCCGAAACGGCCCAGGATGTGCTCAAGCGGGTACAACGGGGCCCTCTTGGGGCCCCAAGTGGAAGAACTCGAACTGACATTTCGAGCAGCTCCCTCTCGGTGGCTGCCCAGACCGCCAGCAGATCCTCGAGGGGCCCTCGTTGGCCACCAGAGGGCCCCAACGACACCAAGCTCATCACTGCCTTGCTGACGGCTTTCGGGAGCTCGCAGAGGGTGCCCTGTGCGGGGCCCTGCGGACCCGAAGCTGGGGAAGGGGCTCCGGGGCCCGACCTCTTCAGGACACTCTCCCCTCCTGGCGAGTGCTGGCAGCAGGCGGGCGGCGATGACGCCTGAAATCTGACGGCGTTTCTGTTCGATGCGCGGCCCCATGGGAAGCTCCTGACAACTTCCCCGGGGGCAGCTTTCGCCCTGGATCCATGTTTGACTGCCCCTAGGCCCAAGAGCCTCCAAGGGAACCGATATCGATGAAAAACACAACCGCAAAAAAACGCAGGGATGGAAGCAATTACGTCCGCCCGAAGACTGCAGACGGGCCGGACGTAAGAAAACAGTAATTCGTGAAAGGGAATGCGAAGCAGCTCACGTAGATGATTACTCGACTCGCAACGCAGGAGGCGCCAGTCCATCGAGGACAGCGCCGGGGACGAACCCAACTGCATCCAGCAGATGTCTCACCCCCCCTCTGTATTCCCGCCCTTGGGGCACTCTTCTGTCGACTATGGCAAGCTTGCCTGCATCGAGGGGTGGGGGCGGGTCGAAGCGAGGCCCGAAGGGGAATCTGGATTCCACGCATGTCGGGACTAACGTGCACGCCCTTTCAGCCCGGCGCAGTCTGAAGAGGCGGCAGACGGGGGAGGAGAGGAGGCCGAAATACCATGCAGAGTGGAACACAACATGGCATACACATAGACAGTCGGAGGTCCGCGCGGACTTCTTGGATGCTGGGCCCCCTTGGCGGCGCCTCCGGCGCCGCCCCTGGCGCGTTCCGCGCGCCAGGGAGGGGGGCCCAGCGCCGATCTAAGAAATCCGCGCGGACCTCCGAACGTTTCTGTTTGTGCAGCTCGTCTGCTTCGAAAGCAGGTCAAAATACCTGAGGCTAAAGTACAACGCTGAGGGGCAACCGTTGAGGTGGACTGGCATAGGGGGGGAATCCTCGACCTGGAACCGGCGACACATCGCCGATGCATCGGCGACAGGCCCCCGATGGTGACTCCCCACGTCCCTGGGCGGGGTGGGGCCATCGAGCCCCTATCTGCGACGACTGGACGATGGGCAATCGATACGCCGGCCCCCCACGCCTTCAACTCCCCTCCCCCTTCGTGGCCCCTGAGACTGAAGGGGCCCAAGGACACACAAACAAATACACACAATCACAGGAGTCCCCATATTTTCCCACATTTTCTGGGTAGTTTCCCATCTTTTCCGGGGAAATCGACGATTCATTGTGTCTGTGTGTTTGTGTTTCTTTCCCCTCCTGAGAGACGCCCTCCCTTCGCCTGGCCTCACGGTCGAGGTCCGCCGCGCGCTCTCTGCCGGCGCTCCGCGCAGTTTCTCGCGGCCGCGCTCAGGCGGGCGCGGCCGCGGCGGGCGCGGCCGCCCCGGCCGCGGGCCCCGCGGCGCCGGCCTCGAGCGCCAGCCCGTCGGCCTCGTCGGCCTCGCGGGGCCCGGCGGGCTCGGGCGGCCCCGGGCATCCCAGGGCACCGGGGGGGAGCAAGACCAGTACAGTCGGGGCCTTGACCTAAGGAGCGATAAATAAGGAACGAAGTCCCTGTTTCCCATAAGTTAAACTCCGATGTTCCATGGACAACCTCTAGAAAACCCAAGGAACATTGCAAAACAACTAAGGAACACGGAGCCCCTCCCAAACGAAAGGGTTCCTTCCTCAGCGGCCCGACTGTACGTATCCAGCGTGTTTCTCGCGAGAGAACGCCAGGTCGCCGGACAGAAGGGGAGGGCGTAGCACGCGGAAGGGCTCGCGACGGCGGCGTGGCATGGACACTCGTGCCCCCTCCCGAGACATCAAGCCTCTCGAACAATCAATAGCACTGAGATTTTGACCTACTGGGGCCTCTGCAGGGATATTGACCAGACCCTGGGACACGAGCGTAAATTCCAGGGACCCCCTGCTATACAACTCAAGTCGTCGGATCTTCAGATCCGCAGGACTTCGGATGCATCCAATCGGAGGGCTGCTCCTCTATCTCGGCCTCCCGGTGTCGGGCCCCGAGGCCATCACAAAAGGAACCAGGACGAAAGCCTGCCCAACGGGCACGCAGCCGCTCGGGATCACAAACACAGGACGGACGGATATACTGCGGAGCCGCTCTCAGCCTCCGCAGGGCCCCTGCGAGGCCTGAGGGGCCGTCAACCTCGGCTCGGGATGCAACGCCAGCCCGCGGGGAAGCGGCCGGGCGCTCACCCAAAGGCCTCCCATATGAGACCGAGCAGACGGGGCCAGAGGACTGCACCGCATCACCGGTGTGTCGGCGATGCATCGGCGATGTAATTATCGGCCAGGGATCGGTGATGCATCGGCGAGGCATCGGCGATGCGTCGGCGACGTCGGCAGAGTATCGGCGCCGCCGGCGCTGGGAACATCGGGCTCCGCACCGCGCCGCACCGTCGATGCATCGGCGAGGCGGCGCGCTCCTCCGACCCCGCGTGCTCTGACCCCGTCTTCGGGAGCGGCCAAGAGGGGGGTGGCCAAGAGGGGGGGGTGCAAATCATGACCGGCGGCATGTGCGCGGCCCACCGGGGGGGTCCAGGGACGTAATGAATTCAGAAGAGGCGCCATGAAATCTGGGGAAATATCATGGCCCCCGCCATAATATCCACCCACCCCCCAGTCATCACCCCCCTCTTTGCCGCCCCCGACGTCTGGGAGGCGTGGATCCTTTCACGGGGCCGCAAATTGGAGAAGTTCCCGCCGTCGGATGCCCGGGGGCAACCGAGCGGGCGCGGGCGCGCGCGCTCGACGCGGGTCACCTCTCGGGGGTGGGGAACGCGGCAACTCTCAAGGGGCCCAAGGACACACAAATAAATACACACACACAAATAAAATGATTCCCCAAATTTTATATATTTTCTGGGTTTTTTGTCTTCCCCCCCAATTCCCATATTTTCCCATATTTTCCTGGGAGTCAACGATTAATTGTGTCTGTGTGTTTCTTTCCCTCCTGAAACTCGGGGACCTCGCGGGGCCCCGTCTCTGGCCAAAGCTGGCGCATCCCTTCAAAAACGGCCCACGACATACCGCCCGCATCGTAGGAATCGTCAACATCGCCCCCATGATACGGTGATTTTCGTCCACGCTGTCTGGGCCGCGGGGGTTTAGGAGGCCCTGCCGGGGCTCTGGCAAAACATCGTGACCTTTGCCGCAGCCTGGCGCGCAGCCGTAAAGTAGCGGTGAAGCCGGGATTGCGCGCAGCCGTTCGAGAAAGCGACGGAAATGAACACTTTTTCAAGTGCTAATAAGGTTCCTGGCCCAGTCTCTCCAATCCAGGCACAAGCCGCCAATTTGAAGGGGCCACGAATTTGAACTACCTCAGATGGACCTGCTAGCATGCCGCGCAAATTGGCCAGATTCGAATGACTCCGTCCTAGCAGCTCGGCGCCTTGCAGACCCTGCGGCAACACAGTTGCAATTTACAATGACGGCGAAGATAGCTTCCAAGTGGGGTCCGACTAGAGGGGGTCGGAGGACCGCGCCGCATCGCCGATGCATCGCCGATGCATCGGCGATGCATCGGCGCCGTCGGCGTGATAGGGCTCTTCATCGAGCCGCATCACCGACGCATCGCGACGCCACGCGATCCTTCGACGCAAGCAGCCCGGACCCCAGCCGGGAGGCCTGGAGAAGGAGCTGGAGCAAGAGGAGGAGGAAGGAGGATGCCAGGGAGAGGCGGGAGGAGGGGCGGGGGCAGGGACGGCGAAACAAAAACTCATCATGCGGCACAACCTGCGCACTTCAGGCGCGGTTCCTCGAGCGGCCGCCGCCGACGACGAGCACACCACGAGCCGCCGAATTAGACGGACCTTGTCCCTAAGGTGTTCATTTCGAATGGGCTCATTTCTACGGCTTCTGATCCTTTAGGTCGCACGTTCCGCACAATCGGTGCACGCCCACGCCCCCCCCCCCCCTACCCAGGCATGCCCGCACATGCCGCACCGCCTCACAAACCAAGCGCATGCAGAGGGCAGCGCGGACGCCAGCGCCAGGCCGCACATGCCCACACGTGCCTTACATTCGTATCAGCGTCACACTGAAAATTGGCATGCCCTCACCCAGCCCCCATTAACCAAGGAGTGCACGATCCTTTTCCTCCTCCTCCTCCTCCTCCTCCTCCGCCTTCTCCTCCCTCTTCCTCCTCCTTCCTCCTCCTCCTCCTTATCATCCCTGGCATCCTCCCCGTAGCCCCCCTCTCATTACCGCTACCACATCCTCAGCCCTCCTCCGTCCTGCGTCCTCCCCTCTCTTCCTCCTGCCTAGCGCCTCGCCTCCTGCCTCCTGCCTCGTGCCTCCTGCCCTCCTCGTTGTACTCCTCCTGCTCCTCTTCGTCGTCGTCGTCGTCGTCGTCGTCCTTCTCCTCCTCCTCCGCCTCTTCCTCCTCCCCCTCCTCTTCCCGCTCTCTTGGGACTGTGCAGATGCTTCGCTGACCTGCTCCACTCAGACAGGTGCCGAGCACATGCCGAGCACACGCCAGCACAGTATTCACACAGGTCCAGGAGCCGAGGGCAGGGACAAAGAAAGAGAGAGAGAGAGGAGAGGAAGGCTAGGAGGGAGCGCACAGCCTGAGGCGAAACATCTGACCTGATCTCGCCTATCGGGTGGCCGCCCCCTGGGCCCGAATCCGTTCGGCCAGGGCACGCTGTCGACCGCTGTCGACCAGGCGCGCCTTACCTGCTGAGGACGGGCCTGCAGAAGCAGAAAGCACCGTCCTGGGCGGCGCTTGAGCAGCGGTGGTGAGGACAACTTGCAAATGAGAGCCCAAAGGGTCCGAGAACAATCCTGGCCGAGCAAGTGGCGCCGACGACTGGTGCACACACCACGTGCCACATCGGGCGCGAAAGATCAAGAGGCTTGCGTGTTGTGCTCAAAACCGCGAAATCCAGTCTGAGCCCACTCCGGTTCGGCACCCCTGGGTCGCCAGCTAACCGTGGCGAAGCCAAAACAAAGAAACATAGGTCGGGCATCCCTGCCGAAGGCAATAAGGACGCACTTACTGCATCTCGAACTCTCGCCAACCTGTTGCGTTTCCCACTCGTGCCAGTCGGGCAATGGATTCGGTTTCGGGGATCGAGGTTCTGTGAGCACGCACAAAATGCAGCGTGGAGAAAATCGGTACGACGGCTCCAAACATCATCGCACAAGAAAAGGAAGCGCGACCTGGTGATCCAGCTCTTCAAACGCAGCAGGAGAAGCAAAGGGTTGGAGCGCGAGGGCGTGCTTCGCTAGTCGATTCGCGCCTTGGTTCCTAGGAGCGACTCTCTTCTCAGCTTGCGACGAGGAGTTAATTATCTCATCGGATCGATGGGCAGGCGCGTTGGCAACTTTTCCTTCAATGTCACTCGTTCGAGAGCTTGCTGCGCAGATCTGTGGGCCCCAGCGCACATCTGCTCGCTCGCACGCTGAGCCGCCTCCGAAGCATTGTGCGGGCGGACAGCTCCTTTGCAACCACTTCGAGGCGTGGGCGCACCAGACGCCTGCACGTAAGCATTGGCGAGACCGGCATTCCCGGCAGCTTGCGGGGTCTAGCGCGTGCTGGGCCACGCTGGGGCCACGAGGCGGGCGTGAAACTCTCGCCCCTTGGTGCCAGGAAGACTGCCGCAAAACTAGCCCGGCGCAAATCCTCTATCGCGCACTGCGTAGACGACCCGTCCACTACAACATCGCAGCTCTGACTGCGATCGACAAAATCAATCAGCCGCGAACAGGCTTGCCGTCGCCGACTTGGAGGGCGGGATCCGTCGCCGCCGAGAATAGAAGGAAAGTCTCGGAGGCAGGCTGGGGCATCATCAGACGCGACCAAAACGAATGTTTTGCTGGGTCGCTCGCTCGGGCGGGAGGGCCTCGTCGTGGGCCCCAGCTACCTCGGGCACATTGCGGAGCCAGCGGCGGCGGAAGATCGAATCAGGCCGGCCGCGAAGTGGGGCCGCCCGAGGCGCATCCAACCTCATGGAGACGGCTCGCAGACCCGATGCTTTGCACGCGAAGAGGTTCGCTTCGAACAGAGGAGGGCAAGGACGAGGGTCTACCGAAAAGCGCACACCAACGTAATTATGCGGGGGCAATCGTAGAGAGGCCCCTCTCGTGAAATCCCCGTTCAACTGGAGCGAACTTGACACCGTGGCTGGCGGGGCGCGCGTCAGATCTATCAAGCTACAAAAACCAGCGCGCCGCAAATGAAAACTTGAAGCCCCCCAGCAAATCCCACGCAAACTCAGAAGCAGGACTCGGTGCCCGGGACCTCGGGGGGGGGGGGGGACATGGTTGGGAGCTTGGACAGTGTAATTGTTGGAACGCCTTCAAGGTTCTCCAGATGCCGGTGTAACCCCGCAAACTGCGGGGGCTCCTCGGCCGCGTCGTCCGGCCCCCCCACAAGCTGGCGGCGCCTCGGCCGACGCCAAGGCGGGACCTGCATGGATGCAGGCCTCGGCAGCAGTCGACGCTCCGCGCTGCGCACTGGCATGGCCTGACAAGAGGGCGCCGCAAAGATCCGTCAGCCTCATATCGGACATTCCCAGGATCACGGCACCGCGCCCTGCGGCGGGCCGAAATCCAACAACATAGATTCTACGCCTTCAAGAGCAGCCCCGTGAAGCTCCTTTCGAATTTGTTCGATGAAACCACGCTGTCGTTTCACCGCTCCTGAGCCTCTCCTTCTCTCGTTTGGGTAACCCGCGCTTGCATGCCCCGTGCTGGCCCGGTGCCAAAGCGGGCCAACTTCTTGGCCAGCCGACTCGCGGCGCGCTGCGCGGGCGCAAAGGTTGAGGCCTGATCCTCTGCCTACTCGACATAGAGGTGCTCCTCGAATGCGCGCTCCAACTCAGCCGCAGCCGAAGTGAGAGCACTCAACACTGCGCCCCCGTTGCCGGACATGGAAATCGCAGCATCATCATCATCGCCATCATGATCTGTGCAGGGAACATGGAAGATCTTCGGATCGAGAGCGCAGACCGGGACGACCTCGAACACGGCGCACGCCAATCCAAACACATCGCTGTAGAGACTCACGGGCAAGCTTGATTCAGCAAGCTGAGATAATAGGGGCGATGATGAGCACCGAGGCGAAAGATCCTGGGTTTCCCCCAAAGGTCGTAGAGGGTCTTGGCGAGCGCTGCAGGGACACCTTCATACTCAGCACGGGCCCGATGCCAGGCCAACCTGATTTGCATGATACTTCTGAACGTCCCAAATAAATCCTGCTGGGTTCGCGCCGCCGCTCCTCCACGATTGGGCTCCGTCTCCGCGCCGTGGCCTCCGATGATTGGCCGGATCCGAAGGGCCCGTGGGGCCCGTGGGCCTTTTTGAGGACAGCGTCAAACTTTGGGCGACGCAGCCGTTCCCAAATCCGGACTGGGCCGCCAGCAGAAGCAGCGGCGCCTGGCGACCGTTACGCTTCTCCACAATCGGCAAGAGCGTCCAAAAGAGCTGCGGCGGGAACAGATCTGAGCGCTCGATCGCCTCGCAGATCGCCATCACCTCTAGTGCGGCGTCGCTCAGGAGGCCGAAATGGCGGGCGCGCAGGGGGTCTGGCGACTGGGCCGGGCGCGTGCCGGAAGACAGCGACGCCGCGGGCAGCTGCTCGGGGGTCGCTCTCTCGAAGCACCGCCCTCAGGAATGCGCGCCTCCGGGGCCTCCCAGACACCTTCGAGCTGATGTGTTTCGGCTTCCAGGAGCTCGACGAAGTTTGTTTCGGCCCCCAGACGCTCGAAAGCTCGACTGGGCCCAAGTAGCTTCGCGCCAGAGGCAATTTGTGCAACGGCGAACTGCTAGTCTCATTGTCATTGGATTTCGCTAAGCCCCCCAGGTCCTCGCGCTGCCACCCCTCTCAGGACGGCTTCTGGAGCTCCCCCCCTTAAACAACTGCCAGAAGCGTGGTGGGCAGATGCGTCTTCCAAGAAGATATCAGCCTTCGCGCTCCGCGCTTGCATGCGGGGAAACTCAGCCTTCCGCTCGGCGGCAATGGTCCCCATCTCCCGGGAAGATGCATCCAATCGGATGTTGAGAACTCCCCCAGGGCGGGCGCGCTGCAGCAGAACCTGCATGAGGGACACGTGGCACCCGCCTCCGGCGAAGGTCTGAGCGGCCATGACGAACCCAGCGAAGCCATGATTTCGCCGACACCATCCCGAGCACACTCGGAGTTGGCGGCCACGAGCTTTGGACCGTCAAACACTATAGCCCTAGCCAGTTGTATGGCACTGCCACGTTGTCGCAGAATGCCGGCTTCAACTCCAATGCAGAGGACGGACTTAAGCTCGGCACAATCGAAGTGGGTGCATGAAGCGCTCGAGCCTGTCCATTCCTCGTCAGCTGGGCTGTTGTTTGATCAAGCGCAGCGGCATATGCGGCGGGATGTCGGGTTCCGCCCAAGCGTCCTTTATTTGGCCAGAGTCCGCGCAGGTCATCGAGGGGTGACCGTTGACAGCGTCGATATACCAACTGCTTGTCGCAGTGCGCATCGGGTCGAATAACTACGGGAACACGATGATGAGGCTTGATTCCCCGACTAAAGTTAGCAGCCCCCCCCTTGGATCAGACTGGCGACGCAAGATCCAGCTGGCCGATGGCGACCTACAGGTTGGCATCGTCGGCGCCATTGTGAGCATTCCTAGCTTTGGAACGGAACCAGAACTCTCCAGGACCTCAGGGGGCGCGTTCCAGTCGCCGGCCAGGATCGATCGGGTCGGGCCCGAAAACGACGGGCCCGACTTGGCGAAAGGCTCAGTGCTGCTAGGGCTCAAAACATCAGCTGATTTGAAGCACATGGAATCGGGCGCCAAACGTTGGCCACCAAGTAGAAGCCCAATTCCTTGAGCATTCGATGGGGGGGGGCCACAGGTGCGTCGCCATCTGGAGACCACCGGATCCCGATGCTGGGG